GCTCCCCAGCTCCCCCCCCCGCTGCCACGGGCTCTGCCGCACCGACGGGGAAGCGGAGACGGCAGGCAAGCCCCAGCAAGCCACCGGTGCCTCTGCGGCAGCCGGGGCGCCGTGCCGGCAGGGAAACGGGCAGACACCACCACCACGAGCTAGCGCAAAGGCTCTGGCAGCCTACGGCCGCTCCCGCTGCCCCGGTGCGTCGGGGTTGCCCAGGCAGAAGTTAATCGCGTACCAGAAAGAGGTGCTAGTCAGAAAGATTAGCCACAGAGCAAGCAGAGAAGCACAAGCTACACCCCCCCCTTCCCCACCCCCCCGTCACCCTGCGCGGCCCCTCCGGGACGGAGGAGAGGCTTCTCCCGGGTCCCTTTTGGAAGCAGAGGTGAGCCGAGACGATTCCAGGCCGTTTTCCGGACTGTTTCCCGTTTTCCCGGCACTCTCCCAGGGAAGCCAGAGGCCGGATCCTGCGCCGTTGGCCAGGGAGCGTCGGCAGGAGGTCACCTGCGAGGCAGGAGGGCCCCGGCGCCTCCCCCCAGCTCTCCCTGCCTCCCGCCGCTCGCTCCTCCCGCCCGGCGAAGCCGTTCCATCCCAAATGCATCCTTGCGGAACGACATCCAGTCGGGAAGAGAGGGGATGGAGGGTTCTGGGAGAAGCTCTTGGCCCACGGAGGCCCCGCTCTGCCCCAGGGCCGGCTCCGGGTCCACGTGTCGCCCAGCGGAACCCGGAGGCAGGAGCAGGCGGACGTGCCGCTGCCGGGCCGGCTGCACGACGGAAGCGGCTTTTAAGCCGACAGATCCCACGTCCCGAGCTCTTCCCGCTCCCTCCGGTCCATGCAGCCCCAGCGGGAGCAAACGCTGCGGCTCCAGGGTCTTGTCGCTGCTTCTCGGCTCCATCCCCGCTACGGATTTGGTACATTGGCGAGACGGAGAGCTCGGCCGAGTCCACCTCCTGCGCCACTCCCTCCGACGCCCGCCCGTAGGGGCCTCCGAGTTCCCAAATCCACCACGCTTCTCCCGAGTCCCCATCGCCGCCGTGTCCCGGCGGGCACCGCGAGTCCCGGCTTGCGGCTCTCCCCTTGCCCCGTCCTCCTTTTGGTCGGGCGGGGGCCCC